TGAAATTGTGGTAAGAACTTAAAATATTTAAAAAAAAAAATCCGTAGAACTAATTTTAATTGAAATCTTAAATGTTAAAATGCCTCTAACAAACGTTAACAAATTTCTAATATAGCTGAACTTATCCCAGCCAAAACATTCTCTAAGTGCACGAATACACATATTATTTTCGAAACGCTTGCGAATTTATTGAACCGCAACAAATGTCATTGATGTCATCATCATGATCAACTGCTTTGACAGGCGTGTCCGTGCATCCATATTCACACATCTTTTATTAGCAACAAGTTTTTTAATATTGCATCAGCAGGAGCTCTAGCAGGAGCCGTGGCACTGGCGAGGGGCAGACAATGCCATCATAAAAGTAGCTATAACAATAGCACCCTGGTCTGTGGGACGTACTCGCTAGTCCCTAGTCCCCTGGCCCCTACCACATGTCCTCGAATCGCGCATTACCGTCGCGTATCCTGCGCGCTGATTTTTATAAGAATTTAATATGCGCCTTGTATCTCGTTTTCTTTTGCTTTTTTTATGTCTTTTCGGCTTTTATTTCTTTCCTATTTTTATCTGCACCGCTGCTCAATCATTTACACTAGAGCCATGTTGAGAGCTGTACAGCTAGAAGCATTTTAGTACATCCTTCGAGGAAGTGTATTCTTAAGTGATATCAGCTAAAAAAATTGCAATACCTCTATATTTATTATATATTTAAATAATGGAAATAAAAATTTGAAATTATAAAAAACGGACACATATATAGAATATTTAACTTTTCAAATATATACCTTGTGAATGATTCGTACTGTTGGCCAGGCCCAATCTTACATCTTCGGCTGTATTTTTTCATTCATTACTTCATAACGATTATGAAATAAATACTTCCGTCTCTTTGAGCAGCGCACCTTGGCTGGTATCGATGGCTGTGCTGGGTATTATTGGAACATCCCAAGGATTCTCGCTTTTGAAATAAATCAACTGCATGTCCCGTTTGCTGCTGCTGTTGTTGCTGTTGTATCGTGTATTTTATTGTTACGTTTTTTGAAGTTTGGAATTTTTAATTTATGGCTCATCCTTCATTGTTATAAGTTATATTTCTTCTACGGCTGCTCGCCAAATCCTTGAGCCATACGCTTATCGCTGGGATATGACAATGACACAAAAAAAAAAAAAAATGGAAGAGCATTAGAAAAGGAATACATCTTCTCGTACCTACAAGTCGTAATAAAATATTTCACCCCCTGCCTGCCCCCCTCTAGCGCCTAGAGCTTGGGCGTTGCCGTCAGAGGCACAAAATTATGATGTATGTGCAATAAATAATCTCAAATAAATAAATTATCACCATGCCTGGGTATGTGGCCGTCGCCGAGTGGCGCAACTAATAGCTACCGGCTAGGGGGAACGAGTTCTACTTGGACTCTGCAATTTGATTTGTAGACTCTCTCGCTCTCTCTTTCACTCTGTCTGTCTATCTGTCTCTGTTCTGCATATTTTTCACGGCGGTTTTACAGTTTTACAAGGGTGTTAATATCTGCGCCTTGTTAGTTTTCTCCGCTTTTTTTCCTCTAGGCTCCTTTGACTGCTCATAAATCAACGCTTGATTTGGCGACTTCCATCTGTGTGTGTGTGTGTGTGTGTGAATCCCTTTGTCTATTTGCCAAGCACACGGCATCCTTTTGTTTTAATATGCCAAATATACTCGTCGTCGCCTCTCAGCGGCACCTACCTCATCTACTCTTTTAGTTTTTCTCTGCTATTTTCCTTCTTTTTTCTCATATTCTGTTTTTACAGCCATTTTTGCATGGAGGTTAACCCATTTAACCCCATGGCAACTGCTTTTGGTTAACCACGGACAACGTATCTGACATTTTTCCCTCGCCTCGGCTATGTGAATTGTCCCGACATATTGCCACGACACTCCGGAGGTCGACCTTTTTCGTGTTCATTGGCGTACTGAATGAGAATTTTCGTTCCCATTATTTGCGACAGCTCATATGCATATAAATATATATCTATTTGTATACACATAAATATGTATTAATAAATATATTTTTATTTTTATTTGATTTTAATATTAA